TCCAAAAGGAGAATAAAATTTCAACTAGCATTAGAGCAGGAACCTAGTTCTAGTTGGATGAGCTCTAGAGAATCTATATACTCTGTTCAAAATGGATTGTGTTAAAGAAGGAGGATTTGTAAATTGGCCACATATACTAGACAATACAAACTATGATTATTGGAAAGCTCACATGGTTGGCTTCATCAAACCCAAGGATAACAGAGCGTAGAAGGCAGACATCAAAGGATGGACACCCCTAATGGTTACTTCACAAGATGGTATTCAATTCCTGAAGCTAAAAGTAGAGTGGTCCAAAGATAGAGATCATGAATCTCATGGAAATTCTCGTGCTCCCAATTCCATAATTAATGGAGTAGACAAAAATGTATTTCGTTTCATCAACACATGTACTATTTCTAAAGAAGCACATAAGATTCTCAAAAATGCTCATGAATGCACCTTAAAAGTTTGTATGTCAAGACTCTAACTTCTCACCACCAAATTTGAGAACCTGAGAATGAAAGAAAACGAAACCATTGCAGATTTCTATGTTCGTCTTCGTGACAAAGCTAACTGCTCACACGCCCTTTGTAAAAAAATGTATGAAGAAAAGTTAACCAGAAAGACTCTCAAATATATTTGGTAAATGCCCAAAAATGGATTACATTCACTTATAAAATATAGAATTTATAGAATTAATAAAGCACTTACTCATGAAAAACACACACTTTGTCATGAAAATGATACTTCTAATAGTGTGTGGTTGATTGTTGCAGGGATATATCAAAGAAAGGAAAAAGAAAACAAAGCATGTCATGTTTTGCTAAGCGAACTCAAGTCAAAAGAAAAACATCCAGGATGGCTAGCAGTAAATAGAAACGAAGAGCAGCGAAGGCCCAATTTTCTTAGCAAACTATAGTCCGCTTATGGAACCAAGACAAAACCAAAACACTCCAGATTCGCTAGTGGCGAGAAGCAGTGAAGGAAATTTTTCTTAGCAAGCTATACCCCGTGTAGCGAAATTAGGCGGCTCCTGCAAGGCGGTTTGACAGTTCTAATACTTGGTGGAGAAGAAAGGATAGTCCGCTAAGTGAACTTAACTTTGCTAAGAAAACTCAGGTGGCCATAACTGGTATAAAGAGGGACCAAGTGCAATGTAGAAGGACATCATCTCATATTTTGAATACAGTTTGTAATAGTTAAGAATTTTTCTCCAAATTCAGTTGCAATAGATACTTAGGGGAGGGAATCGAAGAACCAAGCTGGATACACATCAAAGGATCGAGGAATCATCATTGATGCTCATTCATATCAAATTCTTTCTTTTTGTACAAGCTACCATGACATTGGATAGCTAAAATCCTTCTCTTGTCGAGATTGGAAGAATCTACAATAATTGTATTTATATTTACTGATTATACTTTTAATATAAACATGTTTTCATGATTATCAATTCTATCTTGTTATTGTTGTTGAATCTGATGAATTCAAATTGTTAATGAGAATTACTTTCGAAATCACGAACAAAGATAAAGAAGAAATTAAACACTAATTTCCAGATATAGAATTAGGTTTAATATTCGCAGCAAATACTTAATTTTTATACGATCTAATTGTTTAATCGGTTGAGACATCATAAATTCAATGAACCAATTGGAACCATGAAACTATCATATAGACATTCATATTGTTATGAAAAGTATGTGGAGGTATGAACAAATACATGGTTATGCAGAAATTAACCGGTGAATTGCATACGTAAAACAGTAGAGGGAATCCAATCCCTGCAAGATATCTTATCATATCAAAACTTTGCTTATTTCATTTTGTCTATTTTAAGTTTTTATTACTCGTATTAAATCAATCTTTCCATAAACTTTAACTTGAATGCTATCGATAGTCTAAATGTTGGTAATATTTCTCCAGTCTCTGTGGATACGATAACAAAATACTTTCTTTTGATTTACTCAACATCACTCTTCCAAAGAGGTTTGATATGAAATTTTCTACTATAGAAGAAGCTCAAGACATCAGTTCCATTGAAGTGGATGAACTTATTGGCTCATTGCTAACTTTTGAAATGACGATCAATGACTAACTTGAAAATAATAGCAAGGGTGTTTCCTTCCAAATTGATGTTGAAGATGAAAAGGAGCAAGAAGAAGAGGATATTCATGATAATTCGTCTAACTCGATTGCATTACTTGAAAAAAGGTTTGGCAATGTTATAAGAAGACTTGACAAAAAATCAAGGAACAATGTCATGAAAAATGTCAATGAGTTCATGAAAAAACTCGAGAGGATTCAATTACTAGTGCATATATAAAGAAGGAGACAAACTGAACAAAGGCTAGGGGGAAACGATGTCATGAGTGAGAAGGATTTGGACACATTCAGGAGAATTGTGCCAACTTCCATTTGGAAGCTAAATAAGGGATACACCATCATATTATCAAATGAAGAATCTGAAGATGAGAGTGAATAATAAAAAGACAACATTGTAATTGCATTCACTGCTCACATGTTTACAAACTAAATGATTAGAACGGCGGTGAATCTAGTGATGAAGAAATCTCATATGAATATGTTGTTGAAGCCTATACACAGTTGTATGTCAAATGGAAAGAAGAATGCATGTCTGCTGAGAAACAAAAATCACAAGTAAATATCTTTCTTCAAGAGAAAGCTAATATCACCAGAATCACATCTGACCTGAGGAAAGAAGTCACAATGTTGAACTCTAAGTTTGATGGCATGACCAAGTAAATTCGCATGATATATTGTGGATCTGGATTTCTTGATGAGATCCTTTGTATGGGAAAAGTAGATAGAGGCATGAAAAGTATTGGTTTTGATTACTGTTCTATGAATGAAGAAAATAAGTTTGTCCCCCTGAACCGAAAACTGCGATACTGATGACTGACTACATGTCAAATTAACATACTTGACATTATTACCAACCCAAAAATTTCTTCAAAAAACCATCTTTAAGGTACCGCCATTGTGGTTTATATGGGCATGTTCGACCTTTCTTCTACAAGATACATGGTAGACCTTTCTATTCTTACAAACATTAACCAACTAAGAAGACATCAAGAAATGATCGTGTCCAGCAAGTCTGAAAAGTTAAGGAGGAAGCTATAAGTCAGTTTTCTCACACCTCTCTAAGAGAATCCTCTCTTGAAGATTTGTAATTTCATAGTGACTGCTCCAAAAACATGATAAGAGAGAAGAACTATTTGAAAGAGGTAAAACCTATACTAATATTTATGTTACTTTTGATGATGGTGCTAAAGGAAAGATTGTGGGAAAAGGGAAACTAGATTATCCAAGTGTCCCGAATTTAGAAGATGTTTTTCTAGTTGAAGTAGTGACTACTAATCTTATTAGTACCTGCCATCTATGTAATCAAGATCTTTATGTCTACTTCATTCTCTTTAAATGTATTGTCACAAACAAAAGTCTAAAGCAAATTATGAATGGTACAAGTTTCCACAAGCGCTCCTTCTGCATGATTTTTTCACGTCGCTAAAAGATGTCTGCAACGTGAAAATCACGTGGCTAATGACAGTTTTTTATAGTGAGACAAACACTCAATCCGCTATTAGTTAAGACAGAGAATATGGTTATGAAGCCATCATAGAAAGTACATGATTTTACCTATGCTCTACCTAGAAACCATTTACACACCAACACAATACTCTTATCCTAGCCCTAGGGGTTGGCATGTTGGTGAAGGCTTGAGACTTGAGAGTGTGCTTCTCTCAAGGTCTCAAGTTTGAATTGCGCTAGGAGTAAGAACAGCCTCTATGTTGGGCCTATCCATTCAGAGCAAATCTTTGGCTTTAAATGGCCAATCCACTAGTGGACAAGATTGATACCCTTAGATTATTCAGTCTCATGTCCGGATACAAAGTATTAAAAACTCTTCTCTTCCACTACTCTCAGATGTTGAAATATGTTAAAGGTACACTTATTACAATACCTCCAAATAGAACAAACCACAACATGCCAAATCATACCCTCTAGGCTTAACCTTACAAGCAAAAGAGAGGAAATACTCAAAGAGAAGGTTATGATCACTAGAAATATTCACATGTCAACCCAACCACCGAAAGATCTTATACCAAATTGACAAAACTAACTCACAAGTGACAAAAGGTGGAAAACCAACTTAACCAAACCCTCGCAGATGGGACAAGAGATAATCTAATAAATAACCACCCCTCATTTTCACAGGTTATCTATAGAAGGTAGTATATCTTGCAGAAGTTGCAAAGAAAAAATCTCCACATTAGAAGGGACCAAACTGTCCCATACTAGAGAGGGTCGAGTTCTCAATGAAATTAAAGGACATAGAAATCCTACGGTGGATGAAATATCCTACATAGACCAAAAATACATGATCCACATTAACCTTAAAAGACTGTTTTCGAAGAAATTAATCTGAAAACCCGATTTGTATAATTAAAATATAAAACAAAAAAAAAACGTTTTATGAAAGTAAATTGGCTCTATGATTGTTCTTATTATTGTTGAACTTTTTACTAGGGTTTCTCATTAAAAAGATATGAATTATAATATTAGTATCAATCCCTCTTTGAGATATACAAGAGTTGTAGTTTCATGCAAGTTGCTTACTATTTTGTCCATAAACAGAAATAAAAAATGTTGTCACAAATAAAGTTTGATACACTTTAAAATTTGATTAGTTTGTTCTAAAGCTAATTAGGTGCTACACAGTAATTTCCACTAAGATTTGATTAAAAATATTATCCCAATTAATTTATGTTCCATTTCCACTAACTTATTAGACTTTAGTGTCCCAACAAAAGCAAAGTGGTCTGCCTATACCTTTTTCCAATTTGAATATTATTATACAATTCTTATTATTTCAAATTAAGAAAACTGTCAACTTCAGTTATTGTTGCGAACAATTTGTCCTTGCAATATACATAGGAAACATTTGTTTTGTGAAAGGTACATGTAGAAAAATACCAACTTGGACCACACTCATCATGGATTTCATGTTTCTCAAGAAGTTTACACTCCTCTTTCTCCTCATTTCTGGATCACTTTTATCAACTTCTTTTGCAGGTTAGTTTTTTAATTAGGTTTTCTTGCAGCTTTATTGTTTTTCATATATATTATATATTAAATTGATTCCATGATCTGATTTTTTGCTTGAAGTGCTAGGCATGTGATCAACTTGATAACTTTAATCTTTGAGATTGAATTCTTCATAGTGTTATCATCAATTATGTATATATATAAGCTATGAAAGTGTATGAAAATCAAAAGTTACCTAGTGTGTGCTTAATGCATATGCAGGTCGAGCATCAAAGTTCATGAGAATCACAGATGAAGATATGAATGCAGGAAATGAGGTATACATGACATGGAAATTCACTTCAATAGTGTATAACTATTTTTCTTTAGTTTATTATAGAAATCTTAAACATTACCAATTATTTACTTACTTTTTTATCTATCTATCTTTCTCTTTCTTTATATCATGTTTAAAGCCTTGTACCTAACTATCAAATGGTGCAAAGCTCATGAACTACCAAATTTAAGTTATCTTTCTTTTGGTCACTATTTACTAATTTCATGCTTTCTTTATTTTGATAGGTATCAACAATGAAGGCAATAGATGAGGAAGAAGTAAGCATTATCCATGAGAGGCTTCTTAGGGCTAATACAAAAGATTATGGACGATATGATCCAACACCAACTTTTTCTAAGCCTCCTTATAAGCTCATACCAAATTGAATTATCACGTTCAGTGGATGAATCCTTAGAAGTTGGTACCTGAAATATAAGTACTATATAATATAAATAATCCAATAAGTAATCATCTTAGTGTAATATAAGACTTTCATATATATATATTATTATAGAGACATGTATAAATATAAATGCTTAGTTATATGTTTGAAGAACATGTATGTGTACGTGTGTTTTAAGTTTTAATTAATTTCACTATATATAGCTCTAGTTTTGTTGTAATGTATGCGTTGATATACATATAGAGATATATATTTGGTGTGTATTGTCTTACATATTTATACATTATACGTATAGTGTACTGTTTTTTTTATAAGCAAACATACATATGAAGGTGTATTGCATGAATGAAAGGAAATAGTTTATGAGATTATAGATGTTATGTTTGAATGTTTGCTTGCTTGTTATGGACATAAGATTCTATGTAGTATATATATATATCTACCCATTCAACTTATATGCTGTCCATGAACATGGACATAATAAGATTGTTTGTAGTCAATATTTTTTATATGTATCCATTCAACTCATCTACACTCGTTGAATTAAGATGCAACAGTTTGAGTTTTAGTATAATTTTTGTGAGAATATAAATTCTTTTGATTTGTAGAAAATGTCAATGCATTAGAAATCACTGATTTTTATGATAAAGATAAGATTAAGCATAATTTGTTAAATATGTATCAATTTATTTTAGTACATGAGTCTCTTATATATAGAAAATTTATATTGTTGTTTATGCATCATCCTATAATCATTCAATTGTGTTTCTTCTCATTTCTATACTATTCTCTTATATTTTAGCTGTGTTATAATTATTTCATGTTATTCTGATACCCAACAGTGGTATCAGAGTATTTGGTGTTGGTCCATATTTCGGTGCAAATATTATTTACGGTGAAATTGTGCAAGCCGATTTAATTGAAATTACCATGACGGTAAAATTTGAGATTGAGAAGTTCAATGGGAGTAATTTCTCCCTGTGGAAATTGAAGATAAAGGCAATCCTGAGAAAGGATAATTGCTTAGCAGCAATTGAAGATAGAACTGAGGGAATATCTGATGAAAAGTGGAATGAGATGGATAACAACGTTGTTGCCAACTTGCACTTATCATTGGCGGATTCAGTTTTGTCTAGCGTTGCCGAAAAGAAAACTGCAAAGGAGATTTGGGATGTTCTCATCAAATTGTACGAGGTCAAGTCACTTCACAACAGAATTTTCTTAAAGAGAAGACTCTACACTATTCGAATGAGTGAATCTACATTCGTGACAAATCACATCAACACTCTTAATACGATGTTTGCTCAACTTACATCGACAAATTTCACCATAGCAGAAAATGAACGTGCAAAACTTCTACTTCAGAGCTTACCAGATTCATATGATCCACTTGTCATCAACTTAACAAATAATAATGTTACAGGCCGTCTATACTTTGATGATGTTGTCGGAGCTATTCTTGAGGAAGAGTTCAGGCGTATAAATAAGGAAGACCGTCAAGAAAACTCAAAACAAGTAGAAGCTTTGACAATGACAAGAGGCAGATCAGTGGAATGTGGCCCCAATGGGAGCCAGAATCATGGTAGATCAAAATCTCGAAGTAAGATGAATGTGAGATGCTACAATTGTGGAAAGAAAGGGAACTTGAAAAGAGATTGTTGGTTTAAGAAGAATGGTGAAAAGTCTTCTGAGGCAAGTTCATCTCAAGGATGTATTGCCAATACCTCTGATGATGGAGAGATTCTATATAGTTGAGCAACAACTAATTCCAAAGGTAGTAAACAGCTCACTGGTGTTTGGATAATTGATTCAGGAGCAACATGACACGTGACTCCTCGACGAGATTGGTTTTACACTTATCAACCTATCTCAGAAGGATCAGTGTTCATGGGAAACGATCACGCCTTGGAAATTGTTGGTGTTGGTACTGTGAAAATAAAAATGTATGATGGTACAGTTCGCACAATTCAAGAGGTGCGACATTTGAAAGGGTTGAAGAAGAATTTATTGTCTATTGGACAATTATATGACCACGGGTGCAAGACCCATATTGAAGGTGGGATCTTGAAAGTGGTGAGAGGTTCTCTAGTAGTGATGAAGGCAGAAAAGTTATCTGCAAATCTGTACATTCTTATGGGAGAGACGTTACAAGAAGGTGATGTGTCAATTGCATCAACTAGTCAAGAAAAATCAACGATAATGTGGCATCACAGACTGAGCCACATGTCAGAACGAGGCTTGAAAGTTCTTGCGGAACGTGATCTCTTACCCGGGCTCAAATTAATAAGTCTACCTTTCTGTGAGCATTGTGTAGTAAGCAAACAAAATAGTTTGAAGTTTGAAGATCAACTACTAAGAGCAAACACATACTTGACTTGATTCATTTTGATGTGTGGGAGTCGCTGCAAATGTCCATAGGAGAAGCAAAATATTTTGTATCATTCATTGATGATTACTCCAAGAGATTATGGATATACCCAATCAAGAAGAAGTCAGATGTGTTTTCAATATTCAAGAAATTCAAAGCACTAATTAAGCTTGAAATTGGAAAGAAGATTAAGTGCTTGAGGACAGACAATGGAGGAGAATATACAGATGGTGGTTTTTTGGCATTTTGCAAGGAATAGGGTATAATGAGATAATTTACAGTTGCTCATACGCCTCAGCAGAATGGTGTAGCAGAGCGGATGAATAGAACTCTCCTAGAAAGGACTAGAGCTATGTTGCGAACTATAGGATTAGCTAAGTCATTATGGGAAGAAGTCGTGAAAACAACATGTTATATGATAAATAGATATCCATCCAGTGCAATTGGTTTAAAGACTCCGATGGAGATGTGGAAAGGAAAGCCAACTGAGTATTCTACTCTACATGTGGTTAGATGTCTTGTGTACGTGATGTAAAACTCCCAAGAAAGAACTAAGCTGGATCCAAAATCCAGGAAATGCATATTCTTGGGCTATGTCGACGGTGTCAAGGGGTATCGCCTGTGGGATCTCACTTCTCGCAAGGTTATTGTCAGTAGGGATGTAATCTTTGCAGATAATGAACTACAAAGGGAACAGGAAAATGATAGTACTTCTAAAGATATCACTACTTTTCATATAGATGGAAAGTCTGTAAAAGATGATTCTTTTGAAGCAGAACCAGAGCACGAGATACAAGAACTAGAGGAACCTGATGGTGTTGAAGTTCGACGACCAACACGTCAGAAAAGGAAACCAAATTGGCAGTCAGACTATGTTATGGCAAGCCATGATGCATATTATCTTCTAACAGAAGATGGAGAACCATCAATCTTTCAAGAGGTTGTGAGTTGCTCAAGTGATTTTCTATGGATGGCAGCAATGCAGGATGAAATGGAAGCCTTACATAGAAACAAGACATGGGATCTTGTTGTACTTCCATAGGGTTCGAAAGCCATCGACAACAAATGGGTCTATAATATTAAGCGTGATGGTAATGATCAAGTGGAAATATATCGTGCAAGACTTGTGATTAAAGGATATGCTCAAAAGTAAGGAATTGATTTCAATGAAATATTTTCTCCGGTGGTTAGACTTACCACTATCAGAGTAGTGTTAGTTATGTGTACTGCTTATGATTTACATCTTGAACAATTGGATGTAAAGATTGTTTTTCTTCACGGAGAACTTGAATAAGAAATATATATGCTACAACCAGAAGGTTTTGAAGAAAAAGGAAAAGAAAACTTGGTTTGCAGGTTGACCAAATCTCTGTACGGTTTAAAGCAGGCGTCGAGGTGTTTGTATAAGAGATTTGATTCTTTCATTATTAACCTTGGATACAACAGGTTGAGCTCAGATCATTGTATATATTACAAGAGGTTTGAGGAAAATGCTTTCATCATTTTGTTGTTGTATGTGGATGACATGTTGGTGGTAGGCCCCAACAAAGATCAAATCCAAGAATTGAAGGCACAATTGGATAGGGAGTTCGATATGAAGGACTTGGACCAGCAAACAAGATTTTAGGGATGCAAATTCGCCGAGATAGAAAAGATAGGAAGATTTGGCTTTCTCAAAGAAATTATCTACGAAAAGTTTTGCGACGCTCCAACATGCAAGACTGTAAGCCAATATCTATCCCACTTCCTATCAATTATAAATTATCCTCAAGTATGAATCCTAGCAATGAGCGGAGAGGATGGAAATGTCTCGAGTACCCTATGCATCAATGATGGGAAGCCTTATGTATGCCATGATATGTACAAGGAAAGATATTGCACAAGCAGTAGGACCGGTCAGTCGATTTATGGCAGATCCTGGTAAAGAGCATTGGAATGTAGTAAAGAGGATCCTGAGATACATTAAAGGAACCTCGGATGTTGCATTATGTTTTGAAGGATTAGAGTTTGGTGTCAGAGGATATGTTGATTCAGATTATGCAGGTGATCTTGACAAAAGAAAATCTACTACAGGCTATGTGTTTACAATTGCAGAAGGAGCGGTAAGCTGGTTATCCAAATTGTAGACTGTTATAGCTCTATCTACTACAGAAGCTGAGTATATGGCAGCTACCCAAGCATTCAAGGAAGCTATATGGATTCAAAGGTTATTGGAAGAGCTCGAATACAAACAACAAAAAATTATTGTGTATTGTGACAACCAAAGTGCCTTGCACATTGCAAGAAATTCAACTTTTCATTCTAAGACAAAGCACATAGGAATTCAATACCATTTCGTTCGTGAAGTAGTAGAGAAAGGGAGTGTGGACTTGCAGAAGATTCACACAAAAGACAACCTAGGAGATGTTATGACAAAGTCGATCAATGTTGACAAGTTTTATTGGTGCAATTCTTCTTATGGCCTATCTAAAACGTAGTAACATGGAATTAACAAGGGATATAAATTTTGGAAACAAACAAATTGACTTTAAGTGGGAGATTGTGAGAACATAAAGTCATTTGTTTTGTAAAAAATGTCAATGCATTAGAAATCACTGATTTCTATGATAAAGAGA